CTCGCGTTCTAATGCGTAATTCTTTTTTTGAACAATGAACTATGATCACAGAACGTCAAGTAAATAATTTCCAATCAATTTTAGGCATTGCAACTATTTATTATCAACAATTTAATTGTTCAAATCACCCTAGCGCCCAAACTATGAAAGATATACGAAAATTTTCGAATCACGAATCATTTAGCATTTGACAAGGAATAATGTTTGTTTTTTGTCAATTTCACGGTATCTCCTTTAGATTTCGAAATATGAACAAGAAAAGAGTTGCGTGACCCAACACAGCGCTCTCAAGCCCACCGCGCACCACAAGTACAGAGCGCTGTGTCGGATCGCGTAACTAGTTTATTGCTCATATCTCAGAATCTACGAGAGATAGGTAAAAATGATGATTGACAAAAATGATTCCTTATTAAATTCTAGATGATTCATAATTTGAAAATTTTCGTCTATACTTCATAGTTTGGGTGCTAGGGCGATTTGAACAATTTAATTGTTAATAATAAATCATTCTAATGCCTAACATTAATTGAGAATTATTTACTTGACGTTTAGTGATAATATTTTATTGTTTAAAATACGAATTACGCATTAGAACGCGATTGGTCAGTACATGTCTGAAAATCGAGGGTGTCCCGCAGCTCTAATAGCACAAGAAAGAATAATCTGGAGTTAAGGCGCTTCATTAAGCGCCATTAAAATACTTTTGACCCATTTTTTCAGCCGTTTGTGTCCCGAATTAAAGCCGTTTTCAGTGTCTCAAATGAAGACATTAAGACATCCATTCTAAACATCCGGGAATTTTGGGTCTTGTCTTAAATTGAAAATTCTAGTTTCTAGACTGAAAAAAATAGTTTTTACGCTGAAAATTTACAATTTCATGGGAAAATCAATGAAAACTGTGATTTTCAATTCAATTATTTTATGAGGATTAATAGAAATGAGGACAATTCAAGGAAATATAGTTTTGGGTTTATTAATTGAAAATTTAGAATTTAGTTTAAATTTTAGTGAAATATTAAATTTAGGGAAATTGAAATTTTTTTACAACAGTTTGTAAACCTGCGAAGAGTTGTGAATTTTTATCAAGGAGCAGCATTACAAAAAATAGTGTCTTAAATGAAGACTTCAAGACATGCATTCTACATTCTGGAATTTTGTGTTTTATATCTTAAATTGAGACATCTTGAAGAGTCTAGTTTTTACAATGAGTTCGACTGAAATTGCAAGGAGTTTCATTACTAAAAATTCACAATTTCATGGCAAAATCAATGAAAGCTCTAAATTTACATTCAATTGCCTCATGAGAAGTAATGAAAATAAGAAAAATTCATAAAAAATGTTCTTGGACTTATTAAGTGAAACTTCAGTTTAATTTTCTTCTAAATATTCATCTTTTCATTGTAAATTTAAATGAGGGGAATTCTTCTTCTTCTGTTGGTTTTCTCCTCAAAAGTTTAGAATTCTATTGAATTTTTAATCAAATATGAAAAGCATCGAAATGAATGTTTTGTTTTCAATCGAAAAAAGACGTCATTGACTTTTCCTGTTTTATCAGATATTTTTCAACCTGAGGGTCCTAATGAATAATTGAACATCTCCACATCAGATATTTATTGCTGTCGGAATGAATACAAAACCCGAATTCTCGCTGTATCCATCAGAATCGAAATTAGAATGATATCCGAATATTCTCGATTGGGAGAAACAGAAACAGAAATGTTCGCGGAATGAAAGAAACCCGATGAATGATTCATCATCTCGACACGAGATCGTTATCTGCTCGAGTGAATTCAAGTCCCAATTATCATTTCATCGATTTATTTATTTGTTACCAAAAATATTAGAATTTTGGATCAATCGACGGGATGTTTTTTTCCATTTGAAAGCTTGAGACACTCACTTTTCATATAAAAAACCACTAATTCGTTGAATTAAAAATTAAAATTATTTATTTATATTCAAACTTGAGATTCTTCATGTTAAAAATTATTTCACTGTCCAATTTTTGATTCACCTTTGAGATTTTTCGTACAATAACATGAAATAGAACTTGAGACACTCATTTTCATATAAAAAAAACACAAATTTGTTAAATTATAAATTAAAATTATAAAGTTATATTCAAACTTAAGATTTTTCATGTTAAAAATTATTTCACTGTCCAATTTTTGATTCACTTTCGAGATTTTTCGTACAATAACATGAAATAGAACTTGAGACACTCATTTTCATATAAAAAAAACACTAATTCGTTAAATTATAAATTAAAATTATAAAGTTATATTCAAACTTAAGATTCTTCATGTTAAAAATTATTTCACTGTCCAATTTTTGATTCACTTTTGAGATTTTTCGTACAATAACATGAAATAGAACTTGAGACACTCATTTTCATATAAAAAAAACACTAATTCGTTATATTATAAATTAAAATTATAAATTTATATTCAAACTTAAGATTCTTCATGTTAAAAATTATTTCACTGTCCAATTTTTGATTCACTTTTGAGATTTTTCGTACAATAACATGAAATAGAACTTGAGACACTCATTTTCATATAAAAAAAAAACACTAATTCGTTAAATTAAAAGTTAAAATTATAAATTTGTGTTCAAACTCCAAATTTTTCGTAACAAAAGAATAAATTAGTCAAGTAAAAAAAATAGACAGCCATAATTTTGTATCGTCTCAGCCAATTAAATAATCAAGAAAATTCATATCATTAAATTTTCTACGAAGAATAAATAAATTCCATCGCAAAATGTTCCAAATCTCCTGTCCCTCTGCGGACGCGAAAATCCGCACCTCAATCGATTTTGCGAATTTCATGTAAATGAATCACATGTGAACGACTCATGCCTGTGTCATATGCAGACAGTTTGGCGCGCTTTGATATGTGATGATTGCTCGATAACTATCGCACACACGACAGCTGTTGAGCCAACAGCATTTCGTTGAGCGATAAAAATGTCTATGACGATGCTTAAACGCCTACTGAGAAATGTTGGCCTTTTTTCACAGGGGAGTTGTTACCGTGTATGGGAGACAAAGAGTCATACGAGGAAATGAATTCGCAGGCGGTAACAGGGCTATTTGCATTAAATTAATCAATTCCGGGATACGATCAGTGGCCCGACAGTAATAATGTACGGGAGTGACAATTACAGAGAATTCTACGTGAGGGGGTTATTAAATTTCTGTCATTGTTTCTGAGTTTTTAGTGCAGGAATTTTTATTTATATAAGCTTCGAGGATTTGCAATTATACCATAATGATTTTTTTATACTGAGATTTTAATTGATTTTTTAATTAATTTATTAATTTATTTGCATATTTTTTTAGGACTTTTGCAAATTTTTAATTGAATTTCTCAATGTTTTTATTCTATCTTCATTTTTTTTTACTATTTCCATTTGCTTTCCTATTGATTAATTAATGCATTTTTCACTATTTATTGCGGAACATAACGAATTCTTTCTAAAGACTTTCAGTGAATTTTGCAAATTTCGGCAATTTTTGATTTTTTTTATGAAGAATGTCATTTTTTATTTTCGCTATCCAGAAATCCTGTGATAAAAATGGTATGATTGTTTATTTTAAGAGAATTTTTCTTTACATAAGTTTAACGAGTTTGCGATCATCAAAGTTTAATCAATTGTTTAGAGTACGAGAGATTTTTTCTTGGGATTTTCTAATTCATTTTCACCTACTCTCCCACCGTTTATCAAATTGAATTGGTTAATAATCAATTAACCAATCAAACAATTTATTATGCAACATAAGAAATTTCTCCGAAAAAAAATCGATTTATTTCGCAAGAATTTTAAGAATTTTTAGAATTTTCCATCATTTAAATAATTGAATAATCTATCATGACACAGAAATGATAAAAAAATATTTTAAAATTCTCGCATTCCTCCTGTGATGGGAAATTATAAGAATGTTAATTTTAACGCACATTTTTTTTCACTCAAATTTCATGAATTTGTGATCATTAATGTTTAATCAATACTTTAGAGTACAAAAAATTTTACTGAGCTTTTCCAATTAATTTTTATCTATTGTGAATATTTGACCACTGTGTAAATTTAATTGTTGAATAATCAATTTTCATACATTAATATTTACTGCGCAACATCAGATAATTCCCAGAAAAAAAAATCCTTTTATTTCCCAAGTTTTGTCGATTTTGCGATCTTTTAAGAATTCTCCCATATTTTAAATAATTGAAAAGTCTATGATGACGCAAGAATAATTACAAAACGATTCAAAATTCTCGCTGTTCATGAATTCTGTGACGGGCGAAGTTTAAAGATAAGATTTAATTTTAACGCAGATTTTCTTTCACCGAAATTTCACGAATTTGCGATCATCAACGTTCAGTAAATGTTTAGTTGTTTAGAATACTATCAATTGTTTCATCGAGGTTTTCCATTTGCCTCTTCCCCATCGTGACGATAACCACTGCTTAAATTTCATTGTTGAATAATCAATTTTCATACATTAATATTTATTGCGCAACAGAAGATAATTCCCTGAAAAAAAAATCACTTTATTTTCCAAGTTTCGTTGATTGTGCGATCTTTCAAGAATTTTCCCACCATTTCAGTAGCGAAGCGGTAAACAGGGTCAAGTCGATTGTGACTATTGGCCAGTTTTTCACGAATATTTCGAAATCTAAAAGCGATAGAAAAATTTTTGTCATGACCTTTTTTGTAGAGCCAATTGAGGGTTATAAAAATGGATGTAAGAAAAGTTTTTCTATCTCTCTTAGATTCCGAGGTATTCATCAAAAACTGGCCGAAAGTCAAAATCGACTTAACCCGGTTTACCGCTTCGCTACTGATTTAGATAATTGAATACTCTATCACGACCTAGACATGATAACAACACGTTTTAAAATTCCCGCTAACCATGAATACTGTCCTCTACCGGCCCGCCAGTGTATCACCCCACTCACGGGTTATTCTGCGAAGTCGTCAGTGTCTCGGGACGCGGTGGGTATTCGATAAGGCTTATCGTCACAGGCGATTGAACTCCAGTTCACTAAACCCCTCGAAAATCCTCACAGACACCCCCGAGTCCCCGTGATCCGACACCTCTGCCCAGTGAAATTCCCCCGAAACAGTGAATGTCCGGACTTTTTATCCACCCCAATAAGAACACCCGCGATTTCATTGTCAGCGTTAGTCGCCCCAGTCATGTGCCAGTGATCAGGATTATACCGGGGATTAATTTAAGCCGATGGATGGAAACACGAGTGCTTGAGTCTTCCAGGGACTCTACTCATTCGAAGATGTAAGTACTTTATTACTCGTCAACCCAAATAGAGTCCATTAATTTTCTGAAAAAGTGAGTCAAGGTTTATGGAGTGAATGACTCGCTGGAATGTTAAATTTACGCTGGAAAATGTTACGTGATATTTTCGTTTGGAGGTTAAAAATACCTGTTACTTGGATCCTTCGTCATCGGGGAATATTTATCAACATCTCGTCAACATTTGTTAAAAAATCAAAAGCGAAGTGGCGAAACAGTTCACCTTGATTTTGACTATCGATCATTTGTCAGTGAATATCTCGAAATGGAAGGCAGATAGCAAAATTTTTGTTAAAATCTTTTTTGTAGCCCCCGATTTGCTCTATAAAAAAGGTTATTATAAATAATTCGCTATGTCACGTAGATTCGGAGATATTTGAGTCAAATTGAATCATTTGAACGCATCGCGACTGATTTTGTCAACATTATTAATATTTATCAACATTTATTGGGATTTTGCGTTAAAAATTTGATCGGCCTCGGGATTTCTCGAGTTGTCAGTGTCAATGGGAGATGCGATACCCGTGTGTTTGTTGATTGATGATCGCCGAGGCGGGACGAACAGCTGACTGTGCGACTATGAATTACTACAGGCGTACGTCTCTGGGGTAATGAAACCCGAGAGGGAGGGATTAACGCTGCGGGATTTTTTTGCATGTAGAAAAAATTTAATTGATGGATTGCGAGGGACAATAGGTGAAAGAGTGATTAAATTATTCAATTCAGAGAGTTGACGCAGTTGAATGGAGTAAAACTCTTTATCTGAAATTTTTCTATTCGTTTCAATAATATTTCCCCTGAGGAAATCATAAATGCGAGTATTTATTTCAATGAGAATGTTTTATTTATGTGAAATCAATAAATAATTCATTCATCTCAAACTAATTTCGATTTGACATAGATAAAGAATTATTACATGTTAATAAATTCATTATTTTGTATTGATTTCAATGAGCATGTGTTATTTATGTTGAATAAGTAATTCATTCATTTGAAGAATTATTAAATTTTCATAAACTCATGTTTTTCATGTAGGAAAAATTTAATTGATTAATTGTGAGGCGATGGGTGAAAAAGTCATTGAATTATTCAATTCAGACGTTGACGCGGTTGAATGGAGTTTGGAAACCCTTTATCTGAATTTTTTTTATTCGTTTCAATAATATTTCCCCTGGGGAGTTCATAAATGCGTGTATTTATTTCAATGAGAATGTTTTATTTATTTGAAAGAAATTATTCATTCATAATTTTCATTTGATGTAGATGAAAAATTATAACATGTTAATAAATGAATTCTCTTCGTCAGTTAAACAATTATTTGAATTACAGCTAATCAAGTCTTTATTTGAATCAAGAACACATTTGTTTATACTAAGAAAATGGAAATCAAGTGCAAGTTCGATTGAAAGCTCATTACGAGCTACTCAAACAAATCCATTTATTCCATTCGAATAAAATTTAATTAATTTAAGTAAACATTTCTTCCAAGTGCACTCACACTTAGATGTGAATATAAATATAATAATGAGGTCTAATTCACCTAGATGATAATGATTCACTTAGGAATCTCAATTCAATTTAGCTTTTTTCTTTTAAAAGCTCTCCAAATACAAAAAAAATAACAAAATCTTGAAAAAAAAAAATCTTTTTGAAAATTCCGCAAACTCCTCTCAATTCCGAAATATTTATAAAAAAACTCCGACAAAACTTCAATTTACTCATTCAGTTTTACCCTTTTCCAACAAAAATAGTTTCATGAATCAATTAAAAATGTAAATCTTGGCTCATTCAAGCATTTCCAACAAAATGGAACACCTCAATTAACAAAACATCAAACTTCTCAAGAACTTCGCCAAACACTCCGTGTAAATGCGAAAATAATTGAATAACAAGTACTAAAAATTTGATTCATTTCGCGAAACAGCATCAGTGAAATTTTTTTACATCAGAAAAGTTGATGAGATATTATTAGAGATGAAATTAATGAATGTTAGAGACGGGCGACTCTCACGTGGGCGGTCTCCGTACAATGTTCTAAGAAGTAATCGAAAATTACATATCCATGGTAATTACACGGCTATTCGACGTAACTACACGTTTTCATACTCGAGATCTCGTCGTACGTAATGCCTCTCTTTATCGTTACTCCTTCCCTCTCCGTTGATTCAATTTCACGTAATTGAATGGATTACTGAGGCCCTCTCGGGGTCGTTATTCCACTCTCGTTATTTATTTATACGTCTCCTGTTGCATTTTCGGATTGACAATTATTCAGATGTCTCAATATTGGCTGGAATGTATTTTTATGCGGGCTTCGATGAAGGCGACGGGGATTATAAATAAACTCGGGCTAAAATAATTTGGGAGTGTGAAACACGTGGGCTGTGGGAAACTATTCTTGAGAATTGGAATTAGTGATGGGGGGAAATCAACTTTTGGTGATAATTTTCGGGAGAAAAATTTGTTTAATGATTTTATGGGCTTATTGTGAAGTTACGTTTCAATTTTTTTTCTGTTTTGAAGAAAATTATCGTTAACATTGAAATAATGATTTTGCAAATGATAAAAAATGATTTTTTTCATCACTTGCTATAGAAACTAGTTGACTTCAATTAATGAGTGATTTTTTAAAAATATCTTCCAATACTAGAGAGAATTAAAAAAAATCCTTTTTGTAGCTCTCGAACGTCTCTATTAAAATGATTTTGTTAGATAGCTATGAAAAAACATTTTGGAGTGAAATGGAATCAATTATAGAAACTTTTAGTGAATGAAATTTATTTGCATCTGTAATTTAAGACGATTTTTTGGGTTTATTTATGACGTTAAGAAACATTTAATTTTTTTGTATTGAAGGAAAATGATTCTTTTCATCATGTACTCCAAAAAAAATAATTTTCATCAATTAATGAGTGAATTTTGTTATGAATATCGTCTAATCCAAGAGAAATAGCAGAGTTTTTCTAAAAACCCTATTTGAAGCTGTGAAAAAAGTTTTATAGTCGATCATGGAAGCTTTTCAAGGTTTTCATGAATCTTTTTATAGCTTTTACCAACACTTCAATGATTTTATGAATTTTTTAATTGATGAGGTGATTTTTAAGATGTTTTCCACCGGTTGCAACTGAAAAATTAAGCTAAAAAAGTGTGAAGAATAGAGTAATTGTATTCAACATATTGCACTTGAAAAACTAATGTCTGAAATTAATATACTTGTGTCCCTCTTTTTTAAGACATTCTAATGTCTAAGGTCTCAAAGATATTCAAGTACTTTCGCAATTTTTTCTCCAGTAAAATGCGTTTCTACTTTTGTAGTCGAACAACAGAGCTTTCATTTCAGTCCTATTTGACCCTAAGTGTCTGAACATTTGCAAATAATCTTATTATTTAAACGTTACAAATATGAAAAAAATTAAAAAATTGCAATTTTTGAGAATTTCGAGCATTTTCTACAAATATTTTATAAACAATCATTTTTTCACAAAACAATCATTTGTTCGGAATTGTAAAAAATTTATTTATATTCAGAATTTTGCCAGAAATCTATTTCATGCTTAAACAAATGAGGTATCCGAAAGTTTAAACAATTTCAATTATTTGTTTATGAACAATAAATATTGAAAAAAAAATTCTGTGCAAAATGTAATTTGGATGACGCTGAATATCCATGATTTTTCTCAAGTTTGTCTCCCGCAATTTAGTTGACAAATTTCATGATTGAAAATGGATCTATAATTGAATCTCTAATGTGGTCTGTACTAAACTGTAAAAGATATTTGAATTTCCTTAAAATGAGACGTCTTGACGGCATTAATTTTCCGTGTTAACTGGATGGACTGAACAATCCATAGAATCGCATTCTCTCATCGAATAATCAACAGGATGAGCAGTGCTCTCTTCTTTTCTCGTCTTTGCTGGAGAAGTAGCTGGCGGAATATTTATAGTGCCACCAGTTCGTCGACCTTTGTCCCTATATGCATATAGACATAACTCAGTACGCTTTCTATGGTGTAGAATCAAGCGTGGGTGTCTCACTGTCTGCATCTCCCACAGTTCGATACCGCAGAACCATTAATTCATGGCGACTATGTAGGGAGTACATTGTTGATGGAGTAGAGAACTTTTTCCTCCACCCTCGCAGAAACATTTTGTTTTCAAGTCTGCAGGGGATTATTGACGTATTCTCAAGGGAAATATTCTCGAATTTCAGACGCAAATGAATTTAATTCAGTAACGAAGTGGTCAAACGGTTTAAGTTAATTTAGTCTTTAGGTGAGTTTTCCAGAAATATTTCCCAATTGAAGGGGGCAGCGAAATTTTTATAACATTTTTTGTAGAGCGAATTGAGTGCTACGAAAAAGATTCTGAGACAATTTTGCTATCTCCCTTAGATTTCGAGATATTCATTGCAAACTGGCCAATAGCCAAAATCGACTTAAACCGTTTGACCACTTCGCTACTGAATTTGACAATCGGTTTTAGAATTGATGTAGTTTTCCTCCAACATAATTTTCGAATTTCTGGTATTGAAATACAAAGGAGATAGAATAATTGACTGATTATTGGAGAATTTCATAGCTTTTCCCAGCTCAATTTAGGTTAAAAAATTAATGATTGCAATTTTACATCGCTACCCGCTTATAAAACCACTCAACAAGTCATGAAAAACTGTAAAAATCCTCTTGATAACATAAAAACTTGATGTAATCTACAAAAACCGTCATAACGTACATATTTTTCACTTCACCAAGATAAAAAAAATGTTCAAATGGACGGAGAGAAGTATTCAGTAAAAATTACGGAACGATTCACGTAATCCGCAATGGGGAATCGTTTCCCGGAAATTTTTATAGGACTGGAAGAGAAGAAATCTGAAACGTTCAGTGAATTCTCAGGTTTATCACCGGACAAAGTACGAAATTGTCACGTAATTTTTCCCGAAGAGTAAAATCTTACAGAAACTTCCCGACTTATTGTGTCTC